GTGAGCCACCACGCCTGGCCTAAGTTTTTTTTTAATGAATTAGTATTTCGCTCTCAGGCTTGTATGAGTGTCCTCTAAGTGCTTTGCAATTCACTCTCAAGTTGAGATTATTTTTTATAATATTCTCTGTTTAGATGTTTTTTTAGGTTTTTGTAGGATGTATGTTTTTCCCTGGGAAATCATCAAAAGTAGTACTGATAGCTCTGGGTTGAAAGTTCTCATTGTTTCCTGTGAGATTTATCCAAAAGTTTGGCCAGCTTGAAAGGGTGTGTTTGGGTGTGTGTGTATTAATGAAGCAAAGATTGGAACAGTAAACAGGAAGCAATATGAAGTTGATGTTCTTTTTCTGTTTTTTTTAGCACATTTGCTTCTTAGCGAGTTAGTAATTTCTACGCGTATGTGGGTATGGAGACCTTGGTTCACTTACTTTCTGTGTGACTAGAAATAAATGTGACCTTAGTTTTTTAATCTGACAGAAATATTTTATTTTTGTAGGTTTTTAGGCATTGCTTAATGTATACCCTTATGCAACAGGATAGAGAATGTCTGATCCCTCAGTCCTTTATAGCCAAAAATAATTTCTTTTTCTCTTTAAGGTACGGATTCCCACATGTCATGACAAGCCTGGGACAACACAAATAGTGCAGTTAACTCAGCAGGTAGTGTGGTACTGTGGTAGAATTATTCAGCACATACAGTCTCTTTAACAGACTTTTTAAACTAGCAAATCCAGAGTTTCTTGGGTTTATTATATATTTCTGAATATTACTAAAATATCCCATATATAATTTTTAATGAATTGATAATAAACTTTCTAATGTTTTTTAGAGTTTTTTTCTTGTTATTTCTCCAGTAGACACTGGAGCACTCAGAATTTATACTGCAATTGTGGGAACAATGGGAAAGTAAATATTTTTTCCAACAAGGTTTGATTCTGGCAAAACCTCTTATCTTAGGATAGTGGCCAGCAGCCTTCTGATTTTAGGAGACTTAGTCAAAAGGATTCTGCCTTTGATTTTCCCAAAAGCAACATCTGTTCATGGGTGGGGTTGAAGTTTTCATTCGAAATATTTTAACTGGCATATTTAACTGGTACAGCACTCCCATTGTTTTTTGAATTGAATAAAAATGGAGGGCAGTAGGAAAACTGATTTTGCTTGTTAGATATGTCAACTAGTATTAATGGTAGTATTTCATACAGTTGTGAATTAATCTAACATCTGACTGTTGGATTAATTCTTTATCTATGGTATTTGAGTTATTCTTGATCTTCTGCTATAATAGGGGTTATTGGTAAGACCCATTCTCTCTCTGGCTGCTCCTGGAGAAAGAGAATCTTAAAAAAGTAGACAGGGCAACATGGCTTATTGATCATGAGATAGAAAGAAATATTTTAAAAATTAATTTCTGAAAATTTTGGTGATTTTTTAAAATTATTTTTCTTTTCTATCTCTTAGGCAGACACACTTATATCTGTTATTTTACCTACTGTTCATGAGGTGGATCTTTTCAGGTAAAGAATAAAAAATTTTATTAACTGCCTTTTCTCTCTTTTGCTTTGCAGTGTTGTTAATTTATTTTTAAAATAGCCTGGTGCAGTAGCTCATGCCTGTAATCTCAGCATTCTGGGAGGCCGAGGAGGGAGGATTGCTTGAGACCAGGAGTTTGAGACCAACCTGGGCAACATAGCGAGATCCTGTCTCTACAAAAAAAAAAAAAAAATTAGCCCATGGTGGTGGGTGCTTGTAGTCCCAGCTACTCTGGAGGCTGAGGTGGGTGGATTGCTTGAGGAGTTGGAGGTTACAGTGAGCTATGATTATTCCACTGCATCTCAGCCTGGGTGACAGAGCAAGACTCTGTCTCTAAACAACAACAACAACAAAAGAATAATCTTAACAGATGTGGAAAAAATAGTCATTATGTTTTACATTCTGTAAAACAATAGTTCGTCCCTGACTATATGTTATGAGCTTTGACAGGGAAATTTGGATATTCATTGGGTATTACATGGTAAAAACAAATTATTTTTTTGTTTTGGTGTGAGAATGATATTGTAATAATGTTAGAAAGTGAACTTTTTAAAAGAGATGCATTTTAAATTATTCTGTGGTGAAATGTCATGAGGTTTGTGTTTTATTTTAAAACACAGATCGTGTAAAAGGTGGCAGATATTAATTATTAAATCTAAGTGATATGTATATGAGAAGTCTTTATTTTTTCTGTATGTCTATTAAATAAAGACTATTGTCTTTATTTTTCTGTATGTTTGAAAAATTTCAAAATGCAAAATTAAAAACCAAAAAAGAGATACTCTAGCACTTAAAAAAGAAAAAAAGGAAGAAGAAAAAGTACTGATCTTAGAGCAGCTAATTTGAAGCTAATTTACCTAGCTCCCCAGATGGTTCTGTTGTATAGCTTGAGAAACCGCTGCTATAAATGAGCAATTACTGGATACTAAAAATTGTGAAAGACATAAAATAGATTTTTTTTTTGGTGGGATCTTTTTTTTTTTGGATAATTTTTAACTACATGGAATACTGCTTCAAAGATTGATTAGCAAAAAAATTTTTTAAAGATTGATTAGTTTTATATCCTTGATTTATTTTATATATTTGCTCCTAGCACAGCACAGTAATCCCATTCCTAGGTATTTATGCAGTAAAAATGAAAGCGTATGTCTACATAAAGACCTGTGCAAATGTTGATGTAGCATCTTTATTCGTAATAGCATAAAACTGGACACAACCCAAGTGGACATTTGGGTTGATGAATAAACAGAATGTAATACATGCATGCACATGAATACTACTCAGCAGTAAAAAAACAAAACAAAACAAAAAAACAAAGAACTGTTGATATGTACAACAACATGGATGACTTTCAGAAGCATTATGCTAACTGAAAGGAGCCAGATTTTTAAAAAGATACTTACTGAATGATTCCATTTATATCGCAGTCTGAAAAAGACAAACTATAGGGACAGAAGTCAGATCAGTGTTTGACTGGGACTGGGAGAGGGAAATAAACTAGAAAGGGGATGAGGGAATTTTCTGAGATGATGGAACTATTCTCTGTCTTCGGTAAGGGTCAGTTTTACTGTCTGTAAATTATAAATGTGATTTAAAAACAATTTTCTTTAAAACAAATTATATGTAATGGCAGTTTTAGAATGAAAATGGGGAGTATCCCCCAAATAAATGAATAAATATTACAGGAAAAATATACTAAGAGAGATGTATACTATTTATAGTTTCTTGCTTGACTCATTGAGGAATAATCTGAAGAATTGGCATAGGTTATTGTTGACTATAGTCACTATAGTTATTTTCTTGTGCTATCAAAATGAACACCCTTCTTACTCTGCTCAGTCTGTGACTCTCCTTACCGAGTTGACCCCACATGGAGACCCTCTTACCCCATTTAGGTTACTATTAATATATCCCACTAGACCAGCTCTCTAAAAGGGTGCCATCTCCCTGTTTGAGCTCTAAGTCCTGTTACCAGGTCACCCCCCACATGAATGCCCTCCTTATCCTAATTGTGTGCCTACACACCCCATTCCAGGCTACTTCTCCATGGAGACACCATCATTTCCCTGCTCTGACACCTTGTGTCAGGTGGTCCCACACCATGGACAACCTCCTCAACCTACTCTGGCTCTGATGCTACACACTAGGCTGCCCCGCTTATGCTTCGTGGGCTCTGTCACCCCAAATCAGATCACCCACACACAGATCTTCTTTACCACATTTGGACTGCAACAGCTCCACAGTGGGTCACCCCCTGTACTTAGATGTCCACCTTACCTTGCACAAGGTCTGATACCCACCTTTGGCCAATGTGGCTCTCTTCCCCTTGTGGCAGAGAGGCCTACCATGTTCTGCTTTAGGATTGAGTTGTTTAGGCAGGATTGAGTTGTTTAGGAAGGGAAAAGGAAGAACTCCTTTGCCTTATTCTTTTTTTTTTTTTTCTTTGCCTTATTCTTGAGCTGCTTTTTTTTTTTTTTTGCCACTTCCTTTATATTTGTCTTCTTGCCTTTGAGTAGTTAAAATTAACTCTCCTAATTTCCATCTCACAAATTTGTTTCATATTTTTACTTAAATGTTGTTTTGATTTTTCTTCCTTTTTTCAAATACGTGGATTGATTGTGATTTTCATAATCATATGTTTTTTTTTCCTCTTATCCACTAGGAAAAATTGTTACCAAATCAGGAGGAAATTACTAAATAAGTAAAAGTCACCACATGTCTGAGGCTTAGTTATGTACTAGCAGAGTTGTGTCTTAACAGGTCTCCACCCAATTCCAGAGCTGCTGTAAAAATAGGCACCATTGCTCTAGGGGGAGGATCTGTTCAAGAAGTAATTCTGTTCAGCATTAGAACTCCCCCTTGTGATTTGTTGTCATTATTCTTTAATGTCAAAAGCATCACCTTTTAAATTAAGTACATCTAATAAATGCCTCTTGGAAAATTAATTTTTCTTGTTTACTTAAAAATATTTAGGATAGAAATTCAAATGTAATAAAGCACTATTGATAAAACAGATCTATCATCACATGGTACAACAATTTAATAATTATACACTTTTATTGTTTGTCAATTATTCTGTATGTCAATACATTACATTTAATTTTGTAAAAATTATCATGAGTCAAATTGATATATATATGTGGATAAGAGATTTAATGTCTCTGTGCATCACCATATTTAAATGATTTTGTATATCAGATAAAGAAATAAATAGGAAGAATTTATATCAATGTGAAGTTTTTAGAATGATTATGTAGGATTTAAAAAACAGGAGTGGATAAGTAAAATATTTCTGCTGTATAAACACCTTTCAGGTGTTTCTGCCCAGTTTTCCTTCATAGTCAGATGCTCTGGGAACTGGTGCTATTGGGGGAGCCCCTTGTGGTCATGGCACCGTCACCATCGGAGTCTTCAGAGACTGTGTTGGCACTTGTTAAGTGAGTATATTTGGTTCCTGTTGGTGATATTTGTAGCACTTTCCCATCTGTGGTATGTTTCCCCACACATTATTACATTGATCCACATAACAACCCTGTTAGAGGGTAGTGCTCATTATGGCACCATTTAATGGACGAGAAAATTGATTCGGGCTCCATGAGGGCTGGAACCATGTTTTTGTTATTTTGAGTGACAAGCACATTCATTCATTACATGAAGTTGGCCCTTGATAAATATTAGTTTCATGAACAGTCAGTGTCTAGATAAATATTAGTTGCATGAACAGTCAGTGTCTAGTCAAAGGCCCATAGCCGGTGAATGGTAGAGCCAGAATTTCACCCCATCTTCTGCCCCAAGCCCAGTATATTCTTTCAGTATGCCATTCCACATTATATATTTCCATTTGTCTTTCTAGTTCCCCGAAATGAGTTTACCATTTATCGAAATAAATAACTTATCCTTTTGGATGTATATTGTTCATATAGATGTTTCACAGTTACAGCGTAGGGCCTTTAATTTGTGTCCTTTGTTTTACATGTTCGTCCTGCTCCACAGCTGTATTTCTCCGTTAAAGTACTTCAGTGATTTCCGACCTTATTTCACTATTCATGATAGTGAATTCAAAGAATATACTACCCGTACTCAAGCTCCGTGAGTAAACAGAATAACTTTTATTGACCAGGTATTACCTTTATAACCGAAGTTATGTAGATTTATTTTTGGTAATAAGTGTTTAATTTAAATTTTGAACATATAGGCAGATTGATTTTATAAAAGGAAGGTTTGAGGAGCTGCTAGTAATGATTTCAGATTTCAAGAGTTAGTATCTTATTTTCTTTGATTTTATTTATGAATGGAAGCTGTGTTGTCATAAATAGCCATCAGACTGTATTTTCAATTCTACTTAGGAAAAATCTTCCCGATTAGTAAAAGGAAAAAAATAATCTTACACTTTTCCTTTTAGCTCCTGCTCTGTTGATCATCTTCTTTTCATAGCTAGGTTTCTGGAACAACAAAAATCTCTGTTTACCGTCTCCAGTTCTTGATTTTCTGATTGCTCCTCAGTCTGCTGCAGGTTGACTTCTTCATATCCATTGAATTTGTTCTTGCCAAAGTCATCAAGACCCTTCTCACTGGCTGACCTAGTGGGCACATTATTGCCCTATTTTCCCACCTTCTCTTTCTTGTAACATTTATGCTGCTGACCTTAAATATATTTTAATTCTTGATACTCCTCTCTCTTGGCTGTCTGGTGGTGCATCTCAGTCTCCTTTGCAGACTTCTTTTCTTTGCTAATCCCTTAAATGTTGGTATTCTCCAGTATTGTGTTCTGGGTTTTGATTTCAGACTGATAATTCTTTCTGTACTATCTTATCTGTACCCATGGCCTCTCTTAACACCCCATACTAATGACTGAAATATATCTTCCTAGCTCAGATCTCTGCGACATCCAGACCTATATAACCAGGAGTGTGTGTGTGTGTGTGTGTGTGTGTGTGTGTGTGTGTGTGTGTGTGTGTGTAAGCAAGCACATTGCCACCTAGACATCTTAATGGCATCGGAAACTAAAGATGTTCAAATTGAGTTCTTTTTGTCTCCCTCTTTTCTCCCCTAAAATTACACTTCTTTCTTTTTTTCGTGAATGGCATTAGTTCTTACTTAGCTATTAGAAAACTAAAATATCGTAAATTTCTCCTTAACATGCCCCACTTCAGATTTTTAAAAATTCTGTTTATTTGATATCCTAAAATATCTCTTATAAAATTTTTTTTTAAATTTTGTTTTGTATTTTTTTTGAGACAGAGTCTCATTCTGTTGCCCGGGCTAGAGTGCAGTGGTGTTATCATTAGCTCACTGCAACTTCAAATTCCTGGGCTCAAGCGATCTTCCTGCCTCAGCCTCCTGAGTAGCTGGGACTACAGGCGGGTAGCACCATGCCCAGCTAATTTTTTCTATTTTTAGTAGAGATGGGGTCTTGCTCTTGTTCAGGCTGGTCTCGAACTCCTGAGCTCAAGTGATTCTCCCACCTTGGCCTCCCAGAGTGGTAGGATTACAGGCATGAGCCACTGCGCCTGGACCAATAACATTTGTTATATTTTTTCCAGAGCTCCCTTCCCAATCTTACTGTCTCTAGTCTCATATCCACTGTTGCTTTTCCTCTAACCCCTGACACCTCCTCTCCTTGTAGGGTATCTTCCAAATTTCCCCCGAGTGGTCTTTCTGCTAAGCACATTTCTTTCATGTGGCATTCATCCACATGGTTATCTAGTAGCTTCTCTTCCCTTTGCCTATAATACCTAAACCTCTTAGCATATTAACTTGGTACTTAATGATCTGGGCAGCATCTGCCCATCTACTCTCATTTCTGACTATTCTTCCTGCTTTGTGCTTCAGGAATGCTGAGCTGAATATAGTTCTACAAACAGACCATGATCTTACTTCATTGCTTTGCCACATACTCTTTGTTTTCCTGTATCACCCTTACCTCCCTTATCCACTTGGCCAAAAGCTATTCATCTTTCCTCTCTTCCTGTAAATATCATCTCTTTGATGAGGCTGTCCTTTAATCCCCTGGTAGGCATAGGTACTTTGTGATTTTTGTGCGTTTTATACCACCTTCACTGTCTTCTAATTTCTGGCATCATAACTGATTATGAAAACCCTTCTTTCTGTGTGCTGTTGGATGGACCGTGTCTTTTCATCTTCATATGCCTAATGCTAAATATGTTGCCTGGAATGTAGTTAATACATAATGTGTTGAGTAAAGGAAAAGACAATGTGTATATTGTTCACTGAAAAGAAATCGTAAGCTGCTATTCACTGATTTAACATTCATCTTTTTCTCACCTTTTTTTGTTTTTTTTGTTTTGTTTTTATGTAGGCCTTCAGTCATATTAGGAGTAACCAATCCTTTTTTTGCTAAAACCCTCCAGCACTGGCCACACATTATTCGAATAGGAGACCTTAAACCTGCAGGTAAAGTATAAACTTGGTGTTCTGTTTTTAGTGTTACATAATGTTACTGCGCAGGTGTATTTCTTTCACTTGGTTAGTTTTTAATATTGATGGCAGCTTTCTTTGAGGCAACATAAATAAGGGCCTTTTGAGAAGAAGATAACTTCCCACTAAAATATGCAGCTTTTTGTATATATAAAATGTTCTGCTAAAAAATATAGTGTTGAAGTATTGAATAAAATGAAACCTCAAAAATTTGAGCTTTTTATGTATCTATAAGCCCAGTGAAACAGGGATTTCTACCACCGCTTGAATAAAACCTTATAGAAAGGTAGAATTATTCCAGACTTGGCATAAAATTCTTGGCTAGGTCTCAAAACAAGTATTATACATCCCGGTAGCACAGGTAATGATTAAGAGAGTAGTCAGAAGATTGAGTTTTCCTTTTGACCACCTTGCTCATGGTAGGAATTTAATAAAAATCTTCACTAATGAATAAATGAATTCAGAAGTTGAAAGTTTTGTTAACTTAGATGATAATTTAATGGTACCTCTGACATTCCTCTCTGGACATTCCTGAATTTTCCATTGAAATAATTGGGACTTGAGATATCTAAAGTTATTTTTATTTATTTATTTATGTTTGAGACAGAGTCTCGCTTTGTCACCCAGGGTAGAGTGCTGTGGTGTCAGCCTAGCTCACGGCAACCTCAAACTCCTGCGCTGAAGTGATCCTTTTGCCTCAGCCTCCCGAGTAGCTGGGACTACAGGCGCGTACCACCATGCCTGGCTAATTTTTTCTATTTTCGGTAGAGACGGGGGTTCACTCTTGCTCAGGCTGGTCTTGAACTCCTCAGCTCAAGTGATCCCCCTGCCTCAGCCTTCCAGAGTGCTAGGATTATAGGTGTGAGCCACCATGCCTGGCCTCTTCCTTTTGAAAAACTGAATAGTAGTCCCTTGAATGCATTTACCACATTTGGTTTATCCATTCATTCATCGATGGACAATTGAGTTGCTTTTACCTTTTGGGTATTGCAAATAGTGCTTCTTGTAATGTACAATATTATACAGTGTTGTATATGGGTGTACAAGTATCTCTTTGAGTCCCTGCTTTCACTTCTTTGGGTATATACCCCAAAGTTGAATTGCTAGATCATATGTTAATTCTATGTTTTATTATTTGAGGAACTGCCATACTGTTTTCCTTTTATATTCCCTCCAATAGTGCACAAAGGTTCCAATTTCTCCACATCCTCACCAACACTTACTTTCTGTTTTTTTGATAGTAGCCATCCTAATGGGTGTGAGTTGGTATCTCATTGTGGTTTTCATTTGCATTTCCCTAATGATTAGTGGTGTTGAGTATCTTCTCATGTGCGTATTGGCCATTTGTGTATCTTCTTTGGAGAAATGTCTATTCAAGTCTTTTGCCCACTTTAAATTGTTTTTTTGT